GTAAAGACAGTATAGGCTAGTGTTATTGTGTGGGAAAGCCATTAAGCATGGTAGATAAAAGCTCCAACTTCAGTCATACAGACCTACATCCAGATCTTATCTCTGCCACACACAGCTTGAGCAAGTTATCTCATCTCTCCAAAGGTCATATTCACCTATACAAAAGTACTTATTATAATATCCATGTCATGGACCTATTGTGGAGGTCCAAATGAGATGGTATATGTGAAACATATGATATCTGGCAGATAACAAGTGTTCTGTGAAAGACAAATGCCATTATTAATATCATCTTTATTGCTCTGCCTAATATGCATTCTGTTCCCCATTGCCTGTTATTCTCTTCCCTTCATGGTTCATACTCCTAGTTATTAGGAAAAAACTGGTGAAATAGAAAACATGGAAATGTATGTTGAATTCAAAATGTCTATCATCCTAAAATATCTGGCTTTGTCATTAGAATATGACAATAGGTTTGCTTGTTATTTATAAAGCTTAAAGAGTCACCCTAAAGCTGATGAGAGATACAGCACAGGAGAGTTTCATATCAAAAGAAGATAGCAGGTTAAAGATAAACACTGGCTTTGAGAGTATCTGTAAGAGATCACACTAAGAAGACAGGTCCCGTGGGTTACAACAGAGAGCCCAAGGGGAGTTAGCCAAAGGACAGTGAGCATTGAAGACAAACTTCACTTATGTCCCTCATTGGATCTGGCCTGGCCCCGTAAGCATTCATTAACTAACTGGTGCAAATGTTTGCCATTTCCTGTCACCTGATCAACCAATTCTAGCCTTTCACAATACTAACTTACTTCCCCAAGGGTACAAATTCTGAGAATGATTCAAACTTGTCAAGTGATTATTCATAAGGTCCTGCTACCTTTGCCCAAATCGCTCTGAAGAGTCCCTGGGCTTTTCTTTATGAAATTGCCTATAAAAAATATATACCACAAACCACTTAATAGCCCATTTCATGCAAGTGTGCCCTTTCCTTTCCTTCCAATCTCTCGTAACTCACTGAAACCAGGTTTTTATCTCTGTATCAGACTCAGATGGCACCAAAGATCTATGGGGTCTGAATCATTGTATCTCAGAAGGATAATCCCAAGGGGGCAAGAACCAGGGAAGCCCTGCCACACCGTTGTCCCTGATGGCTGCCTGAAACCGTGTCACACAACATTACCTGGTTCAGTAACTCAAGGAGGGAAACACGATTGCATCTGATCACACAAACATATATCTGGGTGACATAAAATCATGAGTTGGACTGCATTCTTCCTATTTAAATCAGTTTTTTGCCAGCTTTACTGAGATATAATTGACAAATAAAAATTGCATATATTTACAGTGTACCGTACAATGTGATGTTTTAATGTATGTACACATTGTGAAATGATGTACCTTTTGATCACTTATTAAGCTCTGCTGCTAAGAACCGTAGAAAAGTCAACTGACTCTGGGCACACACATGGATTTCAAACTACCCATTCATATATGTACTCCTTCAATCATATGTTTTAATGATAAACATCTCTGAGTACCCATGAAAAAAATAACAAAATAATTATGAAGTCATTAAGTTGATGAATATCAAGAGCTGTCCCTAGATTCTGAGTGAGCTATGGATCCCAGAGATGTAGATTTAAATAATCACATAGGGGCCACGTACATGTTGCTTTAAACAGAAATTGCACATATGAGTCTTCACAGTCCCCTTGCTGAGAGCTGCTCTGACAGCAGCCACAGAGCTTTGATTTTTCCATTGCCGACTTTTATTTGTTTCATTTCCTGGCTGATTGCAGGCCAAGTGACTTTGGTCATAGGTGTGGTTTAACACAACACTTTCTTCCTGAGCCAAAGGGGGAAATGCACTCTCTCGTGTGCTTCCTCTCAAGGAAACGATATGTCCTGAATGATGAGCACTGGTGCCTCTGCATGTATGTGTGAGATGGGGCAGAGAGGAAATGAGAGAGAGAGACAGAGAATATTTGGTGACATTTTTAATGACTCCCACAGGAACTTTATTGCATTGGCCACCCAGCTTCCACATTCCTACCTAACAATATTCCCTCTGCTAATTCCTGCATTGAGCTTGTGGCTGAGGGACTAGTACAGGTGGCCAAGGCACTGTAAGGCAGAATAGAAGAGTCAGAACAATGTGATTCCCTGAGGTTGTCTTTTCCCATCTGAAGAAAGAAGATAACAAAATCACTAGCCTTGAGGTAGGCTTGACATTAAACCTAGAATTTCCCTGGTACCTACTTCTTCTAAGATGCAGTTGGCGCAGCATAAGTGGATCAATCTCCACTTGGAGATTAAACCAGCAGTTAGTGTTAGTGTGTGTGAACTTCTGAAACCAAACAGCTATCAGTGTTGAATTTTCAGAAATTCTACAAATGTGTAGAATATTCCTTTAGGAGCCAAAATTGTTCACGAAGCAAAGGAAAGTGGTAGTTTCTTACGATTAGGGAAAAGGTGGCTTGCAAAACATAGGAAGAAGATCAGTTGGCTTCAAGGGATGTGGCTGCATTGTACTAGGCAGGATGTTGAGATTCAAAGTGTGTTGAGGGTGGCTGAGAAGGTGCTGACGTCCCCAGCACTCACGAGCGTGACAGCCTTGGAAAAACAGCACTTTAGGACAGTGATTCCTGAGTTCAGCATGTGCGATCTGTCCAGCTTTGCTTCTTGGCTGGGAGGTTTGGAGGCTTTGAGTAAGGTGTTTCAATGACCAGATTGTCTGTGCCCTCATGTGCCACTGGGTATGAATAATGCTTCTAAAACTTATAAGGATTCACTCAAGAGTAAGGGATTTTCAAAATTGGGAAAGAGAAAACCATCACATGAGGCACATCCTAGAAAGCTGGGTTGATGTAGAGAAGGAGGCAGCATCTGCTCAGTGGATGCTGGGGTATGGAAGAACCTTTTGTTTGCAGGCTGTGTCCAACATATTGATAAGCTTGTTTCCAAAGGATGGATCCCTTGGAGGTGATTTCTAAGAAAGCCTGATGAACCTTATTCTGATGTTGTAAAGACACATAAAATTGTATTTCTTTATTCATTTCCCAGCTCCCACCCCTCAATTGTGTGTGTGTGTGTTTCAATGCAATGTGAGCAATCCTACTCTTTTTTCTTATTTTAGTAGTTTTAGGGGGTACGAGTTGAATTCTGTTATGTGTATATCACAGTCCTATATTTTCAAAGTGTCCTTCCCACTCTGTAAAAAGACACCTTCCCCAGGAACCCACCAGGTCCATTATTTTCAAGAGGAGTTCATGTTTCAGGTAATGTTACTCAGAACTTACTGCTGCCCCTTGCCATTGGAGACTACGTGGTTGATGCGGGTTTTTTGTGAAGGCGCTGCTAAAGACTGCGAAATCTGATTCTTCCAAACTCTGCTTTTTTTCAGACACTTCTGACATCCTCTCATGCTCAGTCACTCCCAGCCATAGCTCTCACTTGCTGTGTGCAGACATCTAATATCCCCATCTTTTCACAGCACATACTATTTTCATTTTATTTGCAAAGGATTTTTCTGAACTCTTTGCTTTGCAGCATTTTCTGGGAAAGACTGATTAATAACAGGAGGAAGTAGTAGTAGTCAAGAAAATGAGTCTTTGAAACAAGACAAATCTTGGTCTGAGACAAGGTGCTACAAGCTACAAGACCCTCGAGCAAGTTATTTAATCTTTCTGTGCC